TCCCTTTGCAGAGCAGAGTTAAGACCATAAGCCCATAAGGAATCGGAGCAGGAGTAGGCCTTTCAGATGCTCCAGCCTAATCCATCATTCAATAGGATCATGGCTCATCCAAAATTCCTTCACGTCCACTTTCCTGTCATTTCCCCATAACCCTTGATTCCCCTGCTGCAGAATCTATCTATCTTAGCCTTCAATATATACAAGGACTTTGCGTCCACAGGAAGGAGTTCCAAAGACTCACAACTCTCTGAGAGAAGAAATTCCTTCTTATCTCAGTCTTAAATTAGCATCACTTTATTCTGAGACTATGCTTTCTGGTCCTAGACTCTCCCATGAGGGTATGCATTTTTTCAGCATTTCCCCTGTTAAGCCTCTTAAGAATCCTACATGTTTCACTAAGATTACTCTCATTCTCCTAAACTCCAGTGAGTAGAATCCAAACCTGTATAACCTTTGATCAGAAGAAAACGCCTCCAAACTAGGGATCATCCCAGTGAATCTTCTCTGAATTGCTGCCAATGTAATGATATTTTTCCTTTAATAAGGGACAAAAACTGCTCACAGTACTCCAGATGATATCTCACCAGCACCTTGTACAGCTGTAATAAGACTTCCCTACTCTTATACTCTTATACTCGGGACAGGCAATAAATGCTGGCTAGCCAATGACACCCACATCCCATAAATGAATAATTTAAAAAAAACTCCAATCCCCTTAAAATAAGGACTAACATTCTGCTAGCTTTCCAGTCACTTGCTGCACATGTGTGTAAGCCTTCTGTGTTTTGTGCTCAAGTAACATGCCCCCAGCATCTTTTTTGTTGCAGCTTTTTACACTTTCTCTCTACTAAATAATAGTCTTCCTTTGCTCTCCTTTCCAAAATGAACAACTTCACATTTACCCACTTTACACTCCATTTGCCAACATTTTTGCCCACTTACTTAACCCATCAATATTTCTGTGTAAACTGTTTTATCCCTCTTACAATTTGTCTTTCCATCTATTTCTGTGTTGTCTGCAAATTTGGTTACAGTACATTCACTTCCTTCCGCCAAGTAATAATATATATATTAAACAGTTGGTTCCAACAACCTCATTGGTCACGGGTCATCAAGTTAGTTATCTCTGTCGATATGGTCACAGGACACAAGATGGGGCTAGGTGTCGGCCAGGTCTCCTTTTGGGAAAGAGGTTCAGGCACCTTTTGTTGGGGATTCAGGTACCCTCTGGGAGTGTTAACTGTAAGAGAGAATTATATGTAAAAGGTGCATCATCTCCTTGGAACTGTCAAACCTGTAAAAGATCTGTCAAGAAGTGACAAACCTGACAAGAGCTATTAAAATGTACTTCTATGAAAAAGAACGTTTTTCTCCTTAGAATGTAATCTCCAACCTAGAACTTCAAGTAAGATAACTTCATTTCTTGTCTGAAAAAGAACCAAAAAAAACTGTGGATGCTGTAAATCAGGAACAAAAACAAAGTTGCTGAAAAAGCTCAGCAGGTCTGGCAGCATCTGTGAAGGAAAAACAGTTAATGTTTCAGGTCTGGTGACCCTTCCTCAGAACTATTCTGAGGAAGGGTCACCGGACCTGAAACATTAAATCTGATTTTTTCTTCACAGATGTTGCTAGGCCTGCTGAGCTTTTCCAGCAGCTTTGTTTTGGTTCATTTTTTGTCTCCTGTGTGCATTGGTATGGTAGGTGAAGAGGGAAGGCATGGTGGATTGAAATAGGTACTAAGATTGCATGGACAGTTGAAGGTTCATGCATTATGCATATGGTTAAAGGGCCATAGGGTGGTATAAGAGATATGAGGTATTATGAATGGTGTGTACAAGATGTTAGGTGCTATGGATTAGCATTGAATAGAATATGTGGTTGTGAGGGAATAAGGGAGGTTGAGTGATAAGAGTGGGAGGAATGTTTTCTATTTAATTCTTTAATTTTAATCTTTGGACAAAGATTTGAAGCCCCAAGGCAGATATTTTGCCTGGTTCTCCTAGGAACCCAGCAGCTTCCTCAGCTCCTCCAGGCTGGCAGTTCGACTTCCAGCCCACACACTTCCACCAAAAGCAGCAGCATGGCTGGCTGTTTGTAAAAGTTAGGTCCATGAAGCCAGGAATCCTCCCATCTCTAACTCCCGGCCCAGGGCCAAAAAATGGGACAATAATCTAAAAATTGGAGCCAGGCTATTTTAGAGTGAACCTAGTAGGAAACAATGATGGAATTCTCTCCCCAAAGGGCTGGGGATGCACAAACGATTTTTAAAAATTCATTTGTGGGATGTGAGCGTAGCTAGCTGGGCCAGTATTTCTTGCCTGTCCCTAGTTGCCCTTGAGAAGGTGGGGGTGAGCTGTTTTCTTGTACCGCTGCAGTCCACCTGCTGTGGGTTGACCCACAATGCCACTAGGGAGGGAATTCCAGGATTTTGATCCAGTGACAGTGAAGGAACAGCGATATATTTCCAAGTCAGGATGGTGAGTTACTTGGAGGGGAACTTGCAGGTGGTTGGTTCCCCTCTATCTGTTGCCGTGTCTTCTCGATGGAAGTGGACGTGGATTTGGGAGGTGCTGCCTGAAGATCTTTGGTGAACTTTTGTAATGCATCTTGTAGATAGTGCACACTGCTGCTACTGAGTGTTGGTGGTAAGGGAGCAGATGTTTGTGGATGCAATGTCAATCAAGTGGACTGCTTTGACCTGGATGGTGTCAAGCTTCTTGAGTATTGCTGGAGCTGCACGCATCCAGGCAAGTGAGGGGTATTCCATCTCGCTCCTGACTTGTGCCTCGTGGATTATGGACAGGATTTGGGGAGTCAGGAGGTGAGTTACTTGCTGCAGAATTCCAAGCCTTTGACTTGATGTTGTAGTCATTGTGCTTATGTGGTGGGTCCAGCTGAGTTTCTGGTCAATGATAACCCCAAAGATGTTGATTTTGTTTTAGATGGAGGTCACTAGGTTTTGCTTGAATAAGTATATCAGGGATCATTGAACAAAGCGAGTACAGTGAGTTGATCAACCATGAAATCCTTGAGCAGCAGGACATGCTCAAGGACCTCAATGACCTCCTCTCATTTTTCTCTTCGCATTACTGTACATGGGGTGGGGAGAGGTGTCCTGGTTTTCAGTATTAAACTCAGTTTCAATTGACATTCCTTGCCACATATTCCAAGGAGACAAGGGCAATGAACAAGTCACTGGTAACCTTCAAATTTTTGTTTTTCCAGTTTTTCCTGAACTCATCAATCTTCTATTGAGGCATTGCATTCAAAAGCAATCCCTTCATATTTTTCCATCCTTGCCTGAATGCTGAGAAATGGTTCCACATTCTCTGCATCTTATATTGTGCTTAGGTAGTCATTCCTCGTCCTTAAACCTAGTTAATTGTTGCAGGCTGTTCAACATTGAGAGGTTTAATAGTTGAAGTCAGTGGATAATAATCAAAGGGTGGACCTTGGGCTGATTTCTCCTCCTTCTTTAACCCATAGCAGATTGGATCAATCACACCATTACTCCAGGCTAAACTTATTAATCAAGCATAGTCCAAGGATTATGCATGGGCTCCTTTGGTGCAGTGGTACTGTTTCCTTCCCTCCCCATGAACAAGAAGGTCCCAGGTTCAAGGCTCTAGAGGTGTGTTAGGGCATATCAGGCATTATTCAGGTCTGTTTAATTCAATTCCATATTGACTCATAAACTTACCAGATGAGCTCTTTAACTAGCTGTGAACCAAAGGTGGAAGGAATATTTCTCTGTGAGAACAATGTAGAAATATGACAGTGAGGACAATTGTCACCTTGTGTGGAAGCATGCATAAGACTGAGACTTCTCATGAGAAGGTTGAAATAGGGAGGCTTCACCCCTTTCACTAAAAGCTTTTGCACAAAGAAACAACTTCAAAAAGGAGAAAAATTACAGAAGGAGTAAGAATAATTCCAGCAGGGTTGAGGTGATACTGAGTATTTGTGGAATGCTAATGAATACAAAAAGTTAACCAAGCATCAAGAATGCTAACTTGCCTGGCAGATTTTAAAAGCTTAAAGCAGAGCATTAGCCTAGAGTCAGGAAACTGAATTATTGCTTTTCACCCAAATAAACATCTCCACACTCCTAAAGGTCTGGGTGTGCACAGAAGATTCTGTCCATTAATGTGTTACTTTGCTCTCTGACTCCAACTTACTTACGGAGAGAATTAACAGAATTGTCCAAGTTGTGGAAGGCTTTGATTGATAAATACAGAGAAACTGTTCCATTGGCTGTGTCAGTAACAGAAGAGTCAGATTTAAGGTAATTATTAAAAGTATCAATGATAGGAGAAGGAGAAAATTCTTTATGCAGTGGGTTGTTATATTCTGGAAAGGACGGCTTGAAAGAGCAATGAAAGCAGATTCAAAAGTAACTCTCAAAATCAAAAGTCAAAGAGGAATTGGAAATAAATCATGAAAAGAAAACTTAAAATGTTTGCATGGTAAAGGAGAAAGGGCAAAGGAAGCAAACTAATTAAATTGTTCTTTCGAGTACTGATACAGTCACGATGGGTCAAATGGTCTTCTTTCTATATATTTGGATGAAATGTTCTCTCAAGAAGCTAGTGTGCGTAATCTTCCCATGGGCTCTCCAATGTAAGTACCAGACAGTTTCTGCCCTATTAAAATTCCAAGATTGGAAGAATCAGTGTAAGCACTTTACCTCCCCTAAACTGAATCTCAGGAGCAAACAGGAATGTCTGAATAATGTAGCTCAGTCAAGAAATCTGTCTCTGAGAAATCGACAAATTGTTTTTACATTTCGAAGCAGTTATCCTGTTTCATTCTCTCATTTCATGCTTCAGTAGGCAGGCAGTACAGGCAATAAATAAAGATCTCACATTCCTCACTGCCATATATGGGAAAGCCTATGATCTGGTCTCAATGTTCTAAAAATACCCACTTCCTCTCCTAACCCTAACCTTAACACTAACCTTAACCCTAAACCTAATCCTAATCCTAACCCTAACCCTTACCATGATGTTCTTGTGTTCTGACAGGCCCGGAGGAATGGCAAACAATCTATTGTTGTCCAAGTGGAGATCCTGGAGATTCGGCATGTGGCTGAGAGTTGTATTTGCAAAATATCTGATTTTGTTGGAACTCAGCCTCAACCTGCAAAGAGTGAAGGGAAGAGATGAGAATCACGAGGAAATCTGAGAAGCACACCTTTGCTAAAACCCCAGAAAAGTTCCTTACCAAGTGCCAGGTGGATTAGCCGTATGGAATATTGAGAGTGCCACACGAATGACTCTGTAACACTGCTTTTTCAGTGCTCCCCACTTTGCATGGAAATACTGAAGAATCCTCTTCACTTTGAGTGGAAACAATTCCCCTAAGGCAAGATAACTTCAACTGGAACGTTCAACTGATCTGGGTGGCAATGTACAACCTGCAATTCCTTGATTGGAGAAAAATAGAAAGCAAGACTTGCGCTTGGAGGGGTGAAAAATTTATTGTGGAACCTGAAATTCAGTACCCTTTTAAATTCTGGTGGGGAGTTGCCCAGGTACACTTAAGGCATCTCCTATGCAAAGAGAGCCAAGTCTAAGGGAGATCCTGGATGACCTTAAACAATTCCACCCAGGCAACTTTAAGGTCTCATTGGTTAGTTATGTTAGCTGCTAAAGCCTTGTCATTTGCTGAAAAACTTGTTGAAAGGGTCCTGAAGGATTTCCAAGAAAAATTACTTGATCCTGAAGAGTATTGATTATCTTCAAAGGAACCTCATTAGCTCCATGGGGAGTGGAAGAAAAGCAAAGGACATTTCATTTCAATTTTTTTTTCAGGATGCATTTCAACCCTTGAAAATGGCATTGAGTCACTCCAGTTTACCAGGCTTCATTTAGGGTCAGGACTTTTGATGTGCCTCCGAGCAGTAGTGGGCTCCCCTTAAGCTGGAAGATAGCAAGAACTGCAGATGCTGGAGTCAGAGCCAATACAGTGTGGAGCTGGAGGAATACAGCAGGGCAGCCAGCATCCGAGGAGCAGGAAAGTTGATGTTTCAGGTTTACACCCTTCATCAGGTCTTGACCTGCTGTGTTCCTACAGTTCCACACTGTATTAACTCTCCCTTAAGCTAACCCAGTCTCTGAGATCTCACAAGATGTCTGGGAGTGGCTTGGTATTCCACTCTGTTAGATTTACAACAGCAGAGATAATTTGAGGAATTTTGACCCTAAATAGTCTCAATAGCTCTGGAGTCAAGCCAAATTATGAGCAGCTAAGTTCCAGTAAAATTGCATTTGTTTTTACTTAGAGCTTCCTGCATGCTCAGCTGCTGCCGATTGCATTACCTTGTGAACTTTGAAGAATTTTCTCGATAACAGTTGTGCGTACACTGAACTTCCCAGATACACAATTGTGATTTTCTGCAGGGTTTAACATCTGTGCTTTTTTTTAAAAATTCCATCAATCTTGGCTCAGAAAAATCACAACTTCACATGTCAAAAATGAATGGATGCCAGCATCTGCCTTAAGCCATATCACTCTAATTTTTGTTAACATCTTCTGTGATTGAAAACAACATAACAATGTTAAGATGGTACATAAACATAAATTGCTGGAAAACCTCAACAGGTCTGGCAGCATCTATGGAGAGAAGTCAGAGCTAACATTTCGAGCTCAATGACCCTTTCTCAAAACAAAGTCTGAGGAAGGGTCACTCAAACCGAAATGTTAACTCTGATTTCCCTCCACAGATGCTGCTGGACCTGCTGAGCTTTTAAATCAATTTCTGTTTTTGTTCCTAATTTCCAGTATCCGTAGTTCTTACGGTTTTTAATATTAAGATGGTATTGTACCGATCAGATATTCTGCACCTGCAACAAGATATATCAGGTAAAGGCAGAACTAGGTTGGATGCTAAGATGTTCCACTTTTTTCCAGGGAATGCGGGAATCTGCAGAAGAGGTGCCTGCTTGTGTGCCAAGCCCCGTTTTTCTCAATTTCTTCAAGTTAGAGCTGAGCGTGTATTTGGCTGGGGTGTAGGTCTTGTAAAAAATCTTGTTAGAATGCTTTGGTTTAAGAGATTATTACATTTTGGGACTGTACCTTCTAATTTAGAATGAACCAAGGGGTTATGTAACCTGCCTGCTAAAGTCTGCTAAAAAGTAAGCCTGGATGGTTTCATTGTAGGAGATCAATGATAGTATCAGATTGTTTTACAGGAGATGTCTGAGAAAAATACACGTGGAGATGGTAGTAACAACCTCTGACTATAGCATGAGAGTCCCTGAGTCTCCCAAAGTGTCAAAAAGGTGTTATTAGTATAGGATTATATACAATTGTGCTGTAAACTATCCATTTACTTCTAGGATTAATAGGGAGTTGAGATCCAATTTAACTAATTAGAATTTCTACTTAGATATAAGACTAAAGTATTTGAGATTGCCTTGGGGAAGAAGGCATAGGGACCATTCTTGTAATCAGTTATAAGCTTCAAGTCCATAAATACCACATACCGACAGCAGTTTGTTTGGTGTGGTCTGTAGCTATCTGAGAGGCGGAATGCAGAAGTTAGAGACAGCCAGTCCTGCATCTGAAGCAGAGAAACGTGGACTCTACTGTTCATCATTTAGAATACAAGTGGGAGCTTGCCTCTGATTGATGTCTCTGAGCTTTTGTGGATTTAAACAAGATTGGAAAATTCACCTACCTTAGATGAATGAGAAGGGATCTGCAGGTTAACCTTCACAATGATTGTCTGTTCTGGGATTAGACGCTGTGTGGCTGGGAAAGTAAAAAGGAAGCAGTCCACTGGAAGTTGGGAGAAACAGTGGACTGTTTACTATAAAGGTTGTAATTGTGTGAAGACAATGATGTATGATAGTAATAAAGTAGTACATACCTTTCTGTAATTTAGTATACGCATCAATACAAAAGAGTGAAAAAAAAGCCAGTTGTGTTCTTTGTCATATTTTGTTGCAGCAAATGTTTTAAAATATGAAATCTTGTTGAATAATTTTTCAGCTGATGACTTTAACATTTGTCCCAGAATAGGACATGCAAAGTAGGCTGCCATATGTCTTTTAAGAAACTTAAATCTTGTTTCAAAAATAGTTTCTATGGAAATTGTAACAAGTAGATATCTACTTCAATTAATCAGAGCCAATGTAATCATAGAATCCCTACAGTGTGGAAGAAGGCTATTCAGTCTATTGAGTCCACACTGAAGAGCATCCTAACCAGATACACCTACCCAATCTCTGCATTTCTCATGGCTAACCTGCCTAGCTTACATACTATGGGGCAATTTATCATGGCCAAACCACCTAATCTACACATCTTTGGGCTGTGGGAGGAAACCAGAGTACCTGGAGGAAACCCACACAGACACAAGGACAATGTACAAACTCCAAACAGAGTCAGCTGAGGATGGAATCAAACCTGGGTCCCTGGCCCTGTGAGGCAGCAGTGTTAACACTGAGCCACCGTGCCATCCCCTGAACCTTTTAAGAATGTTTACAGGCGTTGGAGATGAACGTTCTGATCTTGGTTTTCCTTCATTTCTTGGAGACTCCTTTCATCCTTTCTATCTGGTTTGCTTAATCTCTTAGGAGATTATATGATTCCAATTGTGATACATATGGCACTATAATTAATTGGGACAGGCTGGACACCAGGAGCCCTTTAACTATAGTAATTCTATATGTTTATAACCAATGGCCACTAACAAAATTTTCAATATTACAGTCTGGCCGAAAATGATATCATATCCACTTTCCATTTTGGTCAATAGAGTGTAATTGCAATCCAGGTTGTAAGTTAGAACTTGAAATCAAGTGTGTATCCTTTTATATCCACCCTAATGGCTTCTTATTTAAGGTATGATCCATTTGTGGGGGACTAACTCTATGCATTTCAGTTTTCTTTCTCAATATTTTAAAGATCCTTGGAAGAAGTATGTGAATTTTGATTTTGAAATAGCTGTCTCGTGTTTAAATTCACACAACAGAGCTGGAATGCCCCGATTGGGCTCTGATGAAAAGTTATCAAGATGAAATGTTCTACTGTGTTTTGCAACTGAGTTGAGGAGGAACTTCTTCACCCAAAGGGTCGTGAATCTATGGAATACCCTGCCCAGTGAAGCAGTTCAGTCTACCTTGTTGAATGTTTTTAAGGCAAAGGTAGATAGATTTTCAAATAGTAATGGAATTAAGGATGATGGTGAGTGGGCGGGCAAATGGAGCTGAGTATGTGAGAAGGTCAGCCATGACCTTATTGAATGGCAGAGCAGGCTTGATGGGTCAGATGGCCTACTTCCGCTCTTATTTCTTAGGTTCTTATGTGTTCTCCCCAACAGTGTTGTCTGACCTGCTGAGTGCTGTGCAGCATTTTTGAGCGAACTTTCAAATGTTGCATTTCAGAGTTGATTTTAAACACTGTACCTGACCAAAGTGCTGAGGTTTGTGAAATCATCCACTTCCACTTTGAGAATTCTATTGCGGTCAAGATGCATCTCAGATATTGAACTTGGCAGGTCTTGAAAACAAATCAAATAAAGAGCATGAACATACTGACGGTTAATAAATGACTTACACGGGACTCTTTGCTTACTCTAGTTTGATACCAAATATTTAATTCAGCAGTGTCATTGGTAATGGTTAACTCATAACCAATTTAGTCTTAAATTATTAAGAAGTACCCTGAACAGCAAAATATCCAACAGCCCTCACCTTTTGGAATTTCAGAAAGCCCTGTCTCAGTAATCCGGAGATATGACAAAGTTTTCAACCCTTGAAAGGCTCCTTTCGCAATTCCTTTTGGCATGAGTGGATTTCTACTCAATTCTATAGAGATGAGAGACATTTGTTAAGGAAGTTAAATCTTTCACTGGGTATGGTTATTTTTCAAGCTCTGAAAGTACTATTAACATCACTTAGAACATGTCTCAAATACCTATTAAAATTTTAAAATCTATTGTGGGTTCTCTTTCCATTATTACTTCTGGAAGTCTCCTTCATCCTCTCAATCATTCTTTTGGGAATAATTCCAAGTTTATTTTCTGTAGTTACTGATTTAGCAGCCAATGGAAATAATTCTTCCCTATTTAACTTTACATTGAACATTCCAAAAAAGATTTCCTCATGATAATCACTGTTTCAAGGGGAAAGAGAAGGTGTTTAAATCTTTCTTCATAATGAAGGCCTCTCAGCCTTGCTGTATATGCTCTCCAGGGACTTTAACATTTGTTCCAGAACAGGACATGCAAAATAGGCTGCCATATGTCTTTTGAGAAGATTTAATGCAGCATGCATGGACTGCTTTCTTCCAACAGAATATCTGCAATTCAAATAACCACGGATTCATTTAAAATCATTTCCTTTCTGTAGATGTCGCTGGTTGTCATAAAGATAACTGTGCAGAATTACTAAACTAACAGCCCAGGTTCTCCAATGGCCCAATAGTCATTTCTACAGCATCCATCTGGAAATCCCAATACAGCTGACAAGGGAATTTTCCAGGAAGTTGAAACCATAGAACATAGAACATAGAACATAGAACATTACAGCGCAGTACAGGCCCTTCGGCCCTCGATGTTGCGCCGACCTGTGAAACCAATCTGAAGCCCATCTAACCTAAACTATTCCATTATCATCCATATGTTTATCCAATGACCATTTAAATGCCCTAATATTACAATTTTCTTCTATATCCAGAAGTCTAATCACGTACAACTGATACCATTATACAATTAACATTACACAATGATTTGGTTAGCCTGTATATCATTGATGACTGCTCCGTGTTTCTACTAGGACTGGACCCACAGGATTGCATCATTACCCAATCTTTTAATTTCTGATAATCATGACAATTGTGGGATTGCTATTGCCCAGTACACCCAGTAGGACTCCCTGCGCTACGTTAACCCTAGACCAATTGCTTTTCTTTGAATTGCAATTGTCAGTTCTCTTATGTTCACCTGAGAGAGAAGATGGGATCTCCATTTAACGTGAGGGTAGTTTGTATGGTGAACTGCAAGAGGAAGTGGTAGATGCAGTTACAGTTATGACATTTAAAAGACATTTGGAATAGGAAAGATTTAGAGGGATATGGGCCAAATGCAGGCAAGTGGGACTAGTTTAGTTTGGGAAACTTGGTCAGCATAGACTAGTTGGACTGAAAGGTCTGTTCCATACCATATGTCTCCACAACTCTATGACCTAATTAGATCTACCTGTTCATTGGTCTCTGATTCTGATATCCATCAGCTAGAACAGAGATTATGAACGACAAAGTGGACTGGCCGAAGAAAAATGTTTTTGCAGCATATTTCTAAAGTTGCAAATGGAAAGGCATCTTAGGGGAGAAATTCTTCTTGCCAAATCAAAGCCAGGCAAGAAAAATCAGAGATAGTAAGAACTGCCGATGCTGGAGTCAGAGATAATACAGTGTGAAGCTAGAGGAACACAACAGGCTAGGCAGCACCAGAGGAGCAGGAAAGCTGACGTTTCGGGTCGGGACCCTTCTTCAGAAGAAGTGTCTTTCTGAAGAAGGGTCCCGAACTGAAACGTCAACTTTCCTGCTCCTCTTATGCTGCCTGGCTTGCTGTATTTCTCCAGGCAAGAAAAATATCTTGATTGAAGAAAAAAAGAATATTTAATCAAAATTCAGTTATGGTCATAAGAATGACTGACCAACGTACAAATCTTCCCATTCCGTAAAGGCAGTATAAAGAAGGAGGTGAGAGCTGTTTATAAGATATGTAATGGAAACCTGTAAAATTGAGTGTAAAGTTAATTATTGGTAAAGCAATTATCACACCATGGTTTTGAAGGAAAGGAGATAAATGAAGGACTTCTCCCAAACTTATCAGTGAATCATAATTTTTAGAAATCACCAATGCTTCAATTTCTATGAAGCCTAAAGACAGGCTGTTAGGAATGATCAATTTCTATGAGATGATCAATAGCAATAAATTATTAAAATGCCCCAAACCAAATATCTGAACCATTTAATCTCCTAAGTAGGTTCCACTGAACATTGAACAGCACAGCACAGTACAGGCCCTTCAGCCCACGATGTTGTGCCGAACTTTTACACTAAATCTAAGGTCTATCTAACCTCCACCCCTACCTTATACTGTCATCACTGGTGAAATGACTAATGACATTAACCTGAAAATAATGTTCAATATTCTTCAACAAGTATCTAATCAATGATGTCGCGGATTGAGTCTAGAAAGATCTTGCATGGCAGTAACACAAGACTCCAGGCATTTTCATCCACGTTCAAATCTAATGTAATTCATTGACACTTTCAGTTATCATGAATTTGTGGGGTAGTCTAACAATGAAATTGTCATAATATGCTACTATTGATTATGCTTGCTCAAATATATTCACACAAAGCGAGTATTTGCACGATTGAGACATACCGAGGGCGAACATGTTGGACATTCCATCAAAAGGTTTCTTTTTCACAAAGTTTATTTTGTTGTCACATATGTGGAGTTCAAGGAGGCTCTTTGGCATGTTCTCTGGAACGCTACTGATTAGATTCTTGGAAAGATATAGCCTTCTAAGACTGTGAAGTGAGGAAAAGGCCTTGGGATGGATCCTCTGCAGCCTGTTGTTCACAAGAATTAAAATCTAAATTAAATTAGAAACAAACAAACAGAAAATGAATTGAGAATTCATGAACAAACAAGTATGTAATTTTCTGAGTGTGTAGTGGCAGAAAGGACCTCATTCACTGCCAGTGAATATCAGAAAATTTGGGGCTTTCCTTCAGAGTATACTTACAAAATCACCCTAAAAGAAAGAAGTTGATATTATGTTCTATGCAGTCTCAAGACACCTCAAAGTGCTTTACTGCCAATAAGTGTAGTCTCTGTTATAATGTTGGAAATATGACAGCTCATTTGCAAACAGCCCACACATGTAACAATGGCAAGTTAATTTGTTTTAGTAAGTTTAGCTGAGGGACAGACATGGGCCAAGACTCCTCCGTCCTTTTCTGAAATAGTGCCGTGAGATCTTTTACATCAAACTCAGGGGGCAGATGAGGCATTTTATGTGAAAGATGGCATCCCTGATAGTGCAGTGAGTCACGAGTACTGCAATGAACTGTCAGCCTAGACTATGTGCTCAAATCTCCAGAGAGTACCTTGAGATCACAGCCTTCTTTGAGAGTATACCAACGTACCATGTCTCACAGCTACGTGATAGTAAAAGGACCCATTGAAAGCACAGCCTCTGCTCCTCATGTGTTATTAAATTTGCACATACAACAGAATTTAGCAGATAATCTATTCAAATATAGAGCATGACGGTGGTGTAGTGGAAATTTCACATATTCAAATCATGCCAAGGCAGTTGGTGGAATTCAAATTCAATTAATAAATCATGAATAAAAGGCATTAATTGTCATATAAAAAGATTAGTTCACTAATGTCCTTCAGGGAAGAAAATTTGCTCTCCTTGCCTGGTCTGGCCTACTTGTGACTCCAAATTCAAAGCAACATGATTGACTGCATCATCAAAGGCATTCTGTGGATGTAGTTTATTTTGACTTTCAGAAGGTGTCCAATGGTCTAGCTCACAAAAATGATCATTTTTCAAAGTTCAGGAGTATGATGTAGAATAAAGTGTACTCACATACATAAAAATTTATAAATGTAAAGAACGTAAAAGATAAGGGTTAATATAATACAGGATATTACAAATAGAGCTTGGTGTAATTAAATAAAAAAAAAGTCAAAATGGAACTGAAGGGAAGCGATTGTCTCTCAATCATAGATAAGATATTACAGGCTCAGAAATTTTCCAGCCTTGATTGATTAAGATAATACCAGGATTGGGTAATCATGAGTTACAGTTGTTCATAATTTGAGAAGTCATAGTGCTTGAGATGAAAGTGGGAACCTACCTGGGAGGCCTGGTAGGATGCTGGGCCAGGATGCTGGTGTGGCATTTCAACAGTGACCAGTTAAGAGGCCACTGCCTATAGACTGCCATCCAACTGTAAAGGTGCAGGCCCAATAAGAGACCTTGCATTACTATAGTCTCGGCAGCACCTCTGTTGTGGGTAGCCGCTGCTGAGGATGAAGATTTAAGAGAGGGTGTCTCTGCGCTAATGTGCCCTCGAAGGAAGGCTGAATTTATTTATGACCCCGATAGTTGGGAGAGGACACCCACCCCCTTCACTAGGAACTTGCTGTGATATCACCATGATGCAACTGGTAGTCTCCTCACATACAAGTGAGTCCTCCCAACACAGCCAAAATGCTACAGCGGCTGATGTTTTGACTTAATGGAGCACTTAAGTGGCTAAACTGAAACACAGGTGGTGTTGTGGAGGTTTCTGCTGCTTATAATATGCCATGGTGGTGGCAAGGCATTGGGTTCCTCACTGCTCTACCATTAGCAGGCCTCCAAATCTCTCAGGCTATTATTATTGGGCTGTAAAAATTCAGTCCCATAATTCTGAGGGGAAACATGAGAGACTGGGACCATCCCAGTGGAACAGTGAAGGGCTCAGAGGAAAGACATTAAAATTTGCAAAAATAAATAAGGCTTCCTTCTGATTGATTGTGCAGTTAATGGTGGCTGGCCAGCAATTTTTGAAAAAAGTCACTGAGAACATAGAGAAATAATTAGGAAAAATGCTGTTGCAGGATGAAATATCTTTGCCACAGAGAGTGGCTAAGGCAGAGATGATTGCACCTTTTAATGAAAAATTGGATAAACATTTGAAGCAGTGAAAAGGAAAAGATATGGAGAAAGAGCAGAGCAAAGAGATAAATTGGGAACTGTGAGCCAGCACAGAAACAATAGACCATATGTCCTCTTTATGTGCAGTAAACACCTAAAGTGGTAGGTAATGCTGCATAACACCCATTTGGACATACAGTTTAGGATTGTTTATTTCAATCTCTATATTTGCTAAATTAGAATATTTGATGAACTAGAAGCTGTATATCATTGAATAGAAAGAAAACTCCTAAATGAATATTAAGATCGTTCCCTGCTATTTATTTAAGTGGGAGGATTAGTGGCAAAATCCTGTGTCATAAATCAATGGATTATCTCATGGTGCTCAGCTCTATACTAATCATTGCCTAACATGGCTGCTCAGGAGCTCCACTTTGGCATATGGAAGTCTGCCACATTTCCTGCAGAGAAAGACTGTGGGCTGTAGAGGTGCAGGATTCACTGGCCTCCATTATCCCTGGGCTCTCTTCTCCAATAACTGCACTTTTCAATCCTGCTCACACCTTCCAGTGATCTTCCTGTCAGTTCCAAGAAGTCACAGTCATCACAACGGACAAGAGACTGCAAAATACCAGGTTCATTGCAGTCAATGGGATTATTTTAGTCAGTTTACTCACCTGAAGGTTCTTCAGATATTTGAAGTCATTTTCCTTTAGCTCCCTGATCTTGTTATTCTGAAGATCCAGCACAGTAGTCTCAGGTAGGATATATGCAGGTACTTTGGCAAGACCTACAGCAGGAAAAGACTATCTTAAACAATTTTAATCTTTTTTCTCTATTTTCCTTACTAGAAGCATGTTAGTTTATAGCACAAAATGTAAATGCATTTATGAACTTAAAGTGTAGCATTAACTTCTGACTGAACTTATGTTTGCATTTGGAATAGAAAATACCATTTGACTATGGAGCTGCCTTCACATCTCACCTTCTCATTATATTTCACTTCACAAATCACAGTGATGGAGGGTGACCAGATTTTCCTATTCTGAATGGGGGAACCTACTGGGTGAAATTACTTACACAGAAACAAGTCCAACGGTAACTGATCAAAACCATTCAGTATAAATGTTCAAACTAGCTTCAAGGTCACTGAAGAAAATAGTTCATGAAATCAGGGAATAGCTTATGGACTTTTTTGTTTGAGACACCCACAGTAAGTATGACAAACAAACACTTCTCTAAATCCTACTGCAGGTTTTCTTTTGCCAATGGAGCTAATGCATTCAAATTATTGTCATAGATCTAGCAGGTGCAGATGAAAATTTGGGATGGTAAAGATTTTCATAATCGATTGAAGAGTACAATCACTAGATTAGAAAGTGTGTCCATGGCTTGCTCACTTCCATGTATTTGATCAGCTTTTCTGCACTTTGCCTCAAAAAGAAAATCCAGAAACACTTGGAGTTGCACACTTACTGCGTTCTGTCTCTGTGTATGTGTGTCTGAATTGTATGGCCACTGTGAACAATTGAAAAATGCACTGCATATTATTGGCATAAAACTCTCAGTTAACCATTGGCCACTCATCCATGAATGCATCATGATGCTTGACTAAAAGCACAGCTATCCATGAGATTGTTGAAACAAAATGAACAGCAGGAAAAAAAAACATTGTTTAATTATGAACTCTGGCTCTCTGATCTCCTCTGTCAATTGTGCAATGATTATTTACACAAAATAAAGAGATTTTAAGCATTTGTAGTTTCTGTTATAGATAATTCAAATGAGCGAGATAATTGATAATTTTATTAACCTGTAGTAAAAGTAGGGTATTTTTGAGGAAGATGGGGGAATTGAATAAATGGCTATTCATTAAATGCATTTTTTAAAATCCACTTTTAGTCACTTGAGAGTTAACTGACTGTACACATTGGCATTAAGAGTTCGAAAGGGTATAGGAGATTGGCAGGATGGCACAACTCAGCCTGGAAGGAATGTGAAGTAAGTTCTGAGTTTACTTTACTAAGGTTTCCCTCATGCGGGCTATGGTTCGTGACACTTCTGAGGTTCGGTGAGCCACAACGACTTTAAATGCTGGTCTGACTGGGTTGAAATTGTGGAGAATTAAGACATGCCTATGTCAGCTCTGTCCCAGGCCAGGTCAGGAGTCCATGGTGTGGGTTCACAACCTGACTCAACCAGCACCATTAACAGGCCCTGGTGAGAATTGGAGAACTTGGGAATCCTAGAATCCTAGAGTCTCCCTGGCTTCATGAAAACCTACCATCAGCACCTCTATTTTTATATAACCTTTCAATCATTATTTTTACAATGAAAGAAACTTTACAATTGAATTTTATCCTTAAATTTAATACCTTAGCAGGCTTTTATAGTGTGTGTTCTTTTCTCATAAAATAAATTATTCATGGTACTGCTTAGGTGATAGGTGTTGTGTACACCCAACCCTGTCCTCTGGATTTGGTATTCATGATGCTCAGTTCTTTGTGAAGCTATGTATCTGCAGAGTGACAAGCTTCTTTCTGTTATGATACAATAGAGCTACTACTGTCCACTACTTCTTTGAATTTGCTGAATCTCCTCTCACGTCGCTTTGATCACTAGTGCTCAGCATCTTTTCTCTTTGGTTCTTGTGCATTTGCTGCATGTTCTAGCACGTGAAGTATGAAAGAACTAAGTATTAGATCAAACCCCAAGGGAATTTCTCAGCTCTATCTTGTCTCTTGGAGCTTCCATCTCAGAGATAACTATGAAGTTCTCATGACTATTTGGAGGCTGAGGGGTCACCTTACAGATGTTCATAAAATCATGAGGGGCATGAATATGGTGAACAGACGAGGTCTTTACCCCAAAACTAGATGGCATAGATTTAAGGTGAGATGGGGAAAGATTTAAAAGAGACCTAAGGAGCAACATTTTCATGAAGAGAGTGGTATATGTATGGAATGAACTGCCAGAGAAAGTGGTGGAGGCTGGTACAATTACAACATTTAAAAGACATCTGGATGGTTAATGAATAAGAAGGGGTTACAGGGATATGGCCCAAATACTGGCAAATGGGGCTAGATTAATTTAGGATATCTGGTCAGCTTGGACAAGTTGGGCTGAAGAGTCTGTTTCTGTGCAGTATGACTCTATGAGGCTATGATTCTGTAAATGTGTACACCAACCACCGTGTCAACTTCACAATGCAATTTTCTGTGTTTAGCTTGACACCAGCTTTTCTGATTCTCTCTTGCCTGCACAGATGGCAACCATGATATTTTTCAATCATGCCACAGCCCTGGATATCATTATCTAAGCTCAGCCCGACATTGTACTCTTTCTATGTGTCATCTTATTTCCTCTGGAACATATCTTGACTAAACATAAATTCAAAAGATAGACACAGGAATTTGGACTGCCAAATGGATACCTTGAATGTTATCAACTGTGAAGATTGTTTGGCAAGCTTTATGTGCTAGCAGCTATTTCTGACACTAAGCTTGCTTTTAGCCCTGGCAGTGTTGGTGTGATTTCTTCTGGATTTGAAATAGAGCAGAGATTCTTCTTTATTTTTCAATAAGGTCACTGGAATCCAAGAGATTTTGTAGTTTCACATTTGTCTTCCTTCTCACAATAATGGACCTTAATAACTTTAGATCCACTGTCAATCTGGCAAACACTCCCACATTTTTCCATCCTTTGAAATTTTTATCAGACATTACTTTTAATTTTATTGATACTTTATTAGGGTTTATAGAGTCATACAGCACAGAGATAGATCCTTTGGTCCAACCAATCCATGCTGACTATAGTCCCAAACTAAACTAGTCCCACCTGCCCAAGCTTGGCCCATATCCCTCCAAACATTTCTTACTCATGTACTTATCCAAATATCATTTAAATGTTATAACTATACCCACATCCACCACTTCCTCTGCAAGTTCATTCCACACGGAAACCATTCTCTGTGCAGAAGAGTTGTCGCTCATGTTCTTTTTAAATCTTTCTCCTCTCCCCTTAAAAATATGACCCTAGCCTTGAAATTCCCACCATAAGGAAAAGGCACCCGCCATTCTCCGGATTGAATAATTATTTTCATCAATAGATCAACAATGATGTGATATCCAAAATCTTCAAAGTATCCAATCATTTCATCAAAATGCATTGTGTACTTTTGCACCAGGTTTTTGATTGGGTGGTGAATTTCAGTGGATATACTACCTTCAACCCTTAGTGGTGCTTTGTTCACCTCATGGCTTACTGAGATCAAATACAACTCTCCACATCTTCTTCACCATAGAACAGCATGACCGTCTGTAATGTGGAACGTATAGCTAAAGTCTCTCGCTTTGTAAGATCCCTGGTGTCAAATTTCAGGTCCACACTATGCTGGCAGCAAATTATTACTCATTTTCAGAGAATATTGGTTTGGGTAACCATTTTCTTTCAAACTTTCAGGCTAAATCCTTTGGTACAGCTTGGATGAGATGATATTAAGTTTGTTTCAATATCAATCTTCAGCTTCAGAATTGTTGTGATGGGATTAGTTTTCGCCCTCATCCTGATCTGAGTGATTGGATGAATTTCTTTTCTTTGGGAACTGTTGCATCCAGACATTCCATGCAATTGAATGGTTCCAATGTCTATTGTTTTCTCAAGCATAACAATATCCTCAAGGGTACAGATGTTTTGATTTCTTTCCTGTTTATCATTCTGTTGCTTGGCCTTTGATAACTTTTTTTATCATCTTTATTCTTTGATTGCACATCCTTTCTCAATGATTGGGCTTTTCACAGGGTCTCTAATTTGATCCGTATGTGAGACATTTCCTCCTGTCATTGAATTTATGTGGTTGTCCAAATCTTCTACACATCTTTCTTTTAATCTGAGATGCATTCTTACGTTGCTGTTTCTGTATTCATCTTTGTTGCCTTTCTCTTAGGCTAGCTGTTTACATGGTTAGCATCATCACCTGTCTGTTTGTGACTTCATGTTGTCTGGCAGTGCGAGCAGCCTGAAGGGTCTAGGCCCGAAACGTCAGCCTTCCTGTTCCTATGATGCTGCTTGGCCTGCTGTGTTCATCCAGCTCTACACCTTGTTATCTGCAATATTGTGTGCTTGTCTTTTCCAATCTGATTTCTTTTTTACATTAGGGCTTGCAGAGTGCTAAAAGAGTTGATCTGTCAGCACTGTCAGCTATCCTTCCATTGAATTTATATTTTTTGGTTATGTTTTTCAATCTCATCGTAAGAATTGTCAACAGGTTCACCTGGCTACTCCCTAAAGTTCTAAAATTCTTATCAGTGGATGATTTGTAAATGACTGTTGAATTTCTCAAAAGCCTGGGTTTTTACTGTCATCCTCATCCATTTTACCAGCTGTTGAAATGACCTAAACCTTTCTGTCCTGACTACAAAAAAATGTAGCTGATTCTTTTCTCTTTATTCATGTCTTTTAGAAATCTGTTGGCTTGTTTTAACTTTTTAAATGCCTCCATGACATCATCAATCTGTCAAGCTCTGGCAGAGTGAAGCTTTCCATTTATTTCCATGTCGACAGTGATTTTATTCTTGCACAATTAACTTAGTTTTTTTAATCTCTCTGGCAGTAATTCTGTTTGATTTTTCCTTAATTTAATTCAGAGGTTAATTCGGGGTTTTGCTCAGAAACACCTTCTGCTGCTATTATCTACTGAGAGTCCCAGAAAGTTGAATTAATCTTACTTCTCGACACAAATCCTGGAGTGTTTTTCCAGATTTACCATGTGTTGTGGAACATTATTCTAATATTTTGGTAGTGGATAATTCTAGATATACATGCGCATACATGCGCACAAAACATTTTGGAAAATATATTCATTATAATATCACAGGCGGATAAATTCTGGCTTCTGCCAATATTGGGTTCAGTAATAATGATTATCAAAGCTGAAGTTGTTTGCTTCAGAGAAAAGAAGGCTGAGAGGAAATTTGATGGAGGTCTTCAAAATCAGGAAAGATCTGGACAGAGTAGATAGAGAAACCATTTCTATTAGTAGAAGGATTGAGAACCAGGGGACAACAATTTAAGTTGAAGATAAAAGAACCAACATAAACATGAGAAGAAACTTTATCACATAGCAAGTGGTTAGGATCTGGAGTGCACTGCCTGACAATGAAATGAAGAAAGCTTCAATCATTGCTTTCGAAAAGGATCTGGATATAATTATCTGAGAAAGATTTTCTAGTGCTATGGGGAAAGACAGAGACTGGGACTAATTTAGGAATCTATAGAGACTGGTGCAGTAGAGATGGTGTCAAATGTGTCCCTCTGTGCTGTAACCATTCCATGGTTCTATGAATCAACAAGATGTCTTTCAATTATCTTTTAAATATGGGCCAATGGTCCTCTGAAACTCAATTTCTTAAACATTGGTAAAAAAAGACAGAAAGCCATTTGCCTGCTCTCATCCTGACTGAAATGCAAGAAAACTAATTTAGAGAAGAAGCAACAATTAATACATTATGAGAAGAGGATGTTGATCTCTTGGATTTTAGTTGGCATGGAGATACAGCAAGGTACTGTTAATTGTCATAATTAACTAATTAAATTCAAATCAGCCCTTTGGTTCACCCAGATTGCACAGAATATTACTCCATAAAATTATTGCAATGAAGGGGTATAATTTAAACTCTTTGATGTTTTATTGAAAATTACAATAATATGATAAAGTTTAGTTTATTAAATATTTTATAGGTTCTTAAATGTCCATTGACGCTGTACCACTGATTGAACAGTTTTCTATCTTAAACTCAAAACAACTGGTGAATGTTTCAAGTCTCTTATAACTCTTAGACTCAAAAACACTAACTGTTTTTCTCTCTCTACAAATGCTGCCAGACCTGGCAAGTTTCTCCAGCATTTTCTCATTTCATTTCAGACTTCCTGCATCCGTAACATTTCACTTTGATTAAAATAGGAATGCTCAGTTTGTGTTTATTTCTCTTTTACAAATGTGACTTTTGGTTGATTCAAACAGGAAGAGAGAAAGCAGTAAAACCACTTTTAAAGTTTATTAAAACTGCGTGCCACAAAAAAGTAATATCTGTCAATCAAAGTTGACTGTAGTCCTATTGAGGTTTACAGTCTAGTCAGGCTACACTGGATGATGACAGAAACATATGGGGAAGAAAGGAACATGGGGAAAGTGTTGATGAGAGTTTAAATTAACGTTTTAGTGCTTTGTTCTCAAAAGAGGGTAGTGAGCATTAACTTAGTGTTAGATTTCAACTGACATTTGAAATTTTAATCCTGGGATACATAAACTGTCATTGCCTCAGCTAAACAAGTTAGAACAAGCTGGGGGCAAGAAATGCTTTATGAACTAGACAGGAAAGTAACCTTTTAATATTCAGTTTACTTGCCTAACTGTATACAAAGTAGCTTTATGAATTTTCATCAGGGCAACACAGACTCATTGTACGGCAGACACTAGGGTGAAGTAATAAAGTCTAATTTGAATCATGTCCATTAGAAAGTAATTCTGCTTTCTGTGTAAACAGGATTTTAGGCAGCGCTAAGATGATAGTCAACATATTTTTGAAGTTATGTGTTCTCCCACAATTAGTCACTTTCCATATTTTCTTCAAAACAGCATGGAGTTGACACTGTCTGAGTATGGTAATAGTTAGAATAGTAATTTAATTCACTGTGCAACATGACTGTTTTTGGTTTTAAAAGGAAATTGCCCAGTACAGCTACTGTCAAGTTTCTCCCAGATCATATTAACTACTGTTACAATATTGGTACTTTGTTCATTTTTTCCAGCTATAACATCCTCAGAGTTTATGTTTTCTAAAAATCTGTTGCTGATTAACGGAAGGGAGGAGCCTGTAGAAATGCAATAGAATTTAATGGTTGTGTTTTACAAGTGCCATCTTTTCATAGTTCAATCCTCTTGCAGGTCATCAATCTTGTATTTAATGTAACATAGAAAGGTCACTAATTTCTGAATGGTCCATTTTAAATTGCTCTGCCGTTTATGGGTATCCCTTCAGTTGTCTGGACTTTAACCTCAGGAATACCCTCCCTAAACTTCTCCACCTCTCTATCGTGTTGTATGAATACAAGTTGTTGTTTAAATAGTCCCAAATGCCAGCATGTGCTGGTAACAATCACATTTTTCCATTCTAAATATAGAGTATTCTTGGAAAAGCATGCAGACAGTCTCAGTCCTCTATTCTACATCAGCCCACAGCTGATAGATTGATAGCTGATAGCTAATATAGAGTTTTATGAAATCATGAGGGGCATAGATACGGTGGATAGCCAAGGTCTTTTCCCAAGGGTTGGGGAGCCCAGAACTAAAAGGCATAGGTTTGAGGTGAGAAGGGACCTAAAGGGCAACTTTTCACACAGAGGATGGTGTATGTATGGAATGAGCTGCCAGATGATGTCACGGAGGCAGGTACAATTACAATATTTAAAAGGCATCTGGATGGATATATGAATTGAAGGGCTTAGAGGGATGGACCAAATGCTGGCAAATGGGACTAGATTAATTTAGCATATCTGGTCAGCGTGGACAAGTTGGACTGAAGGGTCTATTTCCATGCTGTACAGCTCCACGACTCTATGACTCTTTCCACTGTGGTCATGTGACACAAAGCTAAAAATCAGATCTGCAGAGACAGTGCATTTTACCAAGCATGTTAAAATGACCCCTTGTCCTGCTGAATCAAGAATCGAAAGCCTGTGAAAATACAATTAGAAACACCAAAATGGAGTTCAGTTCTGGCAGATGATGGGCATGAGGATCAGTATCTCGTGATTTTCACAACTTGCTAACCACCACATACTTGTGATGGATCGTGGAACTAGTGAGGATACCTTTGACAATCACGTGTCATAGTATTCACATCACTCAGTGACAATTTAACGATAAAACTAGAAGACATCGGTACATTATTCGTGCTAAAGAATAAAGTTGATTTTTAGTCGAATAGTGAATTAATAAGATGTATAAACAAAAATAAATTTGCTGGAAAAGCTCAGCAGCTCTGGCAGCATCTGTGAAGGAAAAAGCAGTGTTAACGTTGCGGGTCCGTTCTGAGGAAGGGTCACCGGACCTGAAACGTTAACTCTGTTTTTACCTTCGCAGATGCTGCCAGACCTGCTGAGCTTTTCCAGCAACTTTGTTTTTGTTCCTGATTTGCAGCAACCGCAGTTCTTTTGGTTTTTAATAAGATGTACAGGTTGTTCTGCAACTGTGCTACTAATGTGAAGGTTTAGTATTGTGCTGAGGTGGCATTTTCTGAAATTCTGAGAGGAGATAGGCCAAAATTCAACTTAGCTCAGAAACAGGATCACTGCCTTTAGTCACCACTTAGCAAACAGTGTGTGTTTTACTAAATTAGAAAAAAGGTAAGGTCTAGGTATTTCCATAATCAACATGTTATTATATATCTCTGGAGTAGGTAAGACTTGAACTCAGGCCTCCTGGTTCAAGGGTAGGGACATTACCACTGCACAACAACAGCCCTTAATCAATTAAGCGCTAAGTTATGATGCCTATTGAACTTTTCTCATTGCTTAGTCTCAGAGCAAAAAAAGAAGTGCTTGAGCAAGATACTGATTGATACTGAATTTACCACAACATAAGACAATGAGAGACAAAAGAAAAAGTAGGGAGATTCGAAGAGTTAGATATGAGATTTCTACAGTAATAAATGAATCTTTGTTCCCAGTGATATCCAACAGAAGTATTTTTGTCCTCAATATCCTCCTGTTCTCAAAGCCGGAGATCTTTTCTGAATTGGCTTCATTTATGTTGGACATGAAATAAACACAATACCGGCCTTGTCCACTTTCACATCTACTCTGTCTTCATACAGATGGTGTATGCTTTCCTTACCTAAATTAGAACACTGCACCACGCTCATGTGACAGCGACACCTGGGCGGACATTTGTATTGATAGATGACAGGGATCTCAGGAGTTGGTCCAACTGCAGATCCTTGTTCCTCTCCAACGAAGTCAAAGAAACTGGACTGTTTGAAGGGTTTTGCCTGGCAGAGCATGAAAGCCACGAGACAGGATATGAAGACCTGAATAGCTCCACTCATGGTAACTGTAAAGAAGCGAATGTCAGGATTTCAGCATCTGAGTTGTTTCTGCTCGTACAAGTCTAATATCCCATATAAACCCCTGCAACAACACTTCAGATATCTTAAACATACATTGCTGCACAAAACATGATTGTATATCATTTACTTGATGTAATTTTATGCCCACACTTATACACTTCTCTCTCATCCTTTGTTTAAATTGATGCTTTCACAGGATGTGGGCATTACTAGCAAGACTGGCATTGTTGTTCAACCCTAAATGCCCCTGTACTGAAACAAAAAAACGCAGATCAGACAGCACCCATGGAGAGAAAGCAAGCTTACATTTCAAGACTAGATGACTCTTCATCTGAGCTGCCTTGTACTGAATGGTCACTGAGAGGACAGTTGGAAGTCAATCACATTGTTGTGAATCTGGAGTCAATGTAGGTCAGACCATGTAAGGACAACAGTTTACTTTCCCTAAAAGGCATGAGTGAACCAGGTGGATTTTTATGACAATTGATGATAGTTTCATAGAAACATTGAAAATAGTTGCAGGAGTAGGCTGTCTGGTCCTTCGAGCCTGTGCCACCATTCAATATGATCATGGCTGATCATGCAATCTCAGTATCCAATTCCTGCTTTGTCTCCATACTCCTTGATCCCTTTAGGCACAAAGGCCACATCCAGCTCCCTTCTGAATACGTCTAGTGAACAGGCCCCAACAGCTTTCTGTAGGAGACAATTCTCTGAATGATGAAATTCTTCCTCATCTCAGTCCTGAATCCTTTCCCCCTAGTCTTAGACTGCAACCCCTAGTTCTGGACTTCCCCAACATCAGGAATATTCTTCTTGCATCTAGCCTATCAGTCCCATCAGGATTTTATATGTTTTTATGAGATCCCCCTTCATTCTTCTAAATTCCAGTGAGTACAAGCCCAGTCAATCTAGTCTTTCCTCGTATGTCAGTCCTGCCATCCCGGGAATCAGTCTGGTGAACCTTCACTGGACTTCCTCAATAGCAAGAATGCCCCTCCTCAGACTAAGAGACCAAAACTGCACACAATACTGAAGGTGAAGCCTCACCAAGGCCCTGGATAACTGCAGCAAGACACCCTTACTCAATTCTCAAACCCTCTCATTGTAATCATAACCCTATCGCATTGTAAAGTCCAGTATGCCATTAGATTTCCTCACTGCCTGCTGCACCTCAATGCCAACATTCGGCGACTATTCCACCATGGGACCCAGGTCTCGTTGCACCCCACCTTTTCCTAAACTACCGCCATTCAGATAACAATCTGCCTTCCTGTTTTTGTGACCAAAGTGGATAACCTCATATTTATCTACATTATATTCCATTTTCCAAGCATTTGCTCAACTAGCCAGTCTGTCCTAGTCACCCTGCAGCCTCTTGGCATCCCCCTTGTAGTGCACACTGCCACCTAGTTTAGTGTCATCTGCAAATTTGGAGATATGGCATTCAATTCCTTCATTCAGATCGTTAATGTATATTGTGAACAACTGAGGTCCCAGCACTGAACCTTGCAGTAACCCACTCGTCACTGCCTGCCAATCTGAAAAGGACTTGTTTATACTAGCTCTTGGCTTCCTACCTGCCAACCAGTTCTCTATCCACGTCAATACATTACCTCCGATACCATGAGCTTTAATTTTCCTTACTAATCTCTTGTGTGGAACCTTGTTAAAAGCCTTTTGAAAGTCCAAATACACAACATCTGCTGATTCACCCTTGTCCACTCTGCTGGTCACATCCTCACAAAATTCTTGAAGATTTGTCGAGCATGTTTTCCCTTTAGTGAATCCATGCTGACTAGGGCCAATTCTGTCACTGCTTTCCAAATGCTCAGTTATTATAGCCTTAGTAATTGACTCCAGCATTTTCCCCACCAACAATGTCAGGCTAACCACCCTATAATTCTCCATTTTCTCTCTCCGTCCCTTTTTAAAGAGTAGGGTTACATTAGCTACCTTCCAGTCCATTGGTACTCTTTGACAGTCTACAGGATGCTGGAAAATGATTATCAATGTGTCTGCTATTTCTAGGGCCAATTCCAAAAGTACTCTGGGATACGGAGCATCAGGCCCTGACTGTTATTTTTGAGATGTGATTTCAATTGGAGAATTATTGATTGCATTTAAATTCCAGTAGCTACTTTGGTTGGATTTGAATGCATAGCAGCTGAATGAGTTTGGACCTTGGATTATTAGCCCTGTCATTATCAGTATGCCACTGCCTTCCATTGTAGGTTAGTTCAATTGGCTGGACAACTGTTTTGTGATGCAGACTCATGCTAACAGTGCAAGTTCAATTCCTGGACAGGTTGAGGTTACCATGAAAGGCCTATCTTCTCAACATTCTGCCTTGCCTGAGGTATGGTGACTGACAAATTAAACCAACAGTAATCATCTCTCTCTAATCTGACAGTAACCCCATAGTCCCATAGGACTGTAGTGACTTTACCTCTACCTACCACAATTTGGAGAACAGAACTGTTGCCAGTATTCATGCATATCACAGTGCTGCTTCACAGCACACACTTGGGAGATGCAGATAGCTACCTTCATAACATCATCATGCATTGCCCATCCCATTCTTTAGCCTCCACCAGCCCTACTACCCTCCAACATCTCAGTGGCACAGTGGTTAGCACTGCTGCCTCACAGCACCAGGACCTGGGGTCAATTCCAGCCTTGGGTGTCTGTGTGGAGCTTGCACATTCTCCCTGTGTCTGAGTGGGTTTGCTCCAGTTTCCTCTTACAGTCCAAAGATGTGCAGGCTAGGTGGATTGGCCATGCTAAATTGCGTTATTATTAAATATAATAACATATGGATGATAATGGAATAGTTTAGGTTAGATGGGCTTCAGATTGGTTTCACAGGTCGGCGCAACATCGAGGGCCAAAGGGCCTGTACTGCGCTGTAATGTTCTATGTTCTATGTTCTTCTCAGTCAGAAAAAAAAGCAAATGACATTGTGAGAACAGGAGAACTGATACATTCAAGTAGTCTGTCACAGTTATGGGGTTCTGTGTATCATAGTACAGACACTACTCACCCATTCAAAGCCATGTAATTTACAAATAACCCCCAAAGATAGTAAGCTAAATAACCATACAGTTACATAAATGACTGTAACTCAGTTGACAGGATACTTACTTGAAATCCATTTCCAAAAGTGGAGCACAGAATCAAGGCAGACATCCCAATATGCAGTACTGAGAGCATGCTGCCCTGGGGTGACATGGTGGCTCAGTGGTTAGTACTGCTACTTCACAGCGCTAGGGACCCGGGTTCAATTCCACCCTTGGGTGACTGCTTGTGTGGAGTTTGCACATTCTCCCTGCGTCTGCATGGGTTTGCTCCCACAATCCAAAGATGTGCAGGCTAGGTGGATTGGCCATGCTAAATTGCCTGTAGTGTTCGGGGATGTGTAGATTAGGTGGCTTATAGGGGGATCAGTCTGGGCAGGATGCTCCAAGGGTCAGTATGGACTTGTCAGGCCAAAGGGCCCAGTATCCCCACTGTAGGGATTCAATGATCATGAAGTTTGTTTGAACTTCTGTCTTTTTTGAAAGAAATTTGAAACTAAACCCCAGCCTGCCCTCTGAGGTAAATGATCCAATTTCAAAGAAGACCAGGGGAGCTATCCTGCAACAAGGTCAGTACTAAATCCTCAATCAACATTGCAAAACACAACATATTATTAGGCTTTTGTCATGTTGTTTTCGAAAGTTTGTGCATAATGGCTGCTGTGTTCCATACGTTATAACAGTGACTACACTTCAAAACCAGGTTTACAATTGAAACTTGGAATGAGTGGGTTTTCTTAAGAGAAGATATTGACATACAGAGTAATATGTCAGATAAGCAAGTTATCAGAGAGGGATGGATGGGATTGCAGCCAGAAAACCCAGCACTTTTTGCAGAGGAAAGGATAAAACAAGGCATTAGAGTCATGAAGTAAGCAAGCACAAATAGAATGGCAGAAAGTTGGTCTTTAGAACTAACATATAGAGGGAGGGAAGTTTGCATCAGTTCTACAAAAATAAATACAACAAAAACAGAAGTTGCTGGAAAAGCTCAGTGGGTCTGGCAGCATGTGTGAAGAGAAATCAGAGTTGATGTTTCAAGTCCGGTGAGCCTTCCTCAGAACTCTGATTTCTCTTCAGATGTACTGCTAGACCTGCTGAGCTTTTCCAGCAACTTCTGTTTTTGTTTCTGATTTACAAGATCCACAGTCCTTTCGGTTTCTACAAAAATAAATCCTTGATTTAGACCGCATTTGAAATAAGAAACACAATTCTGAGCCTCACACCTTGGAAAGGATGCATCAGAATTGGAAAGAGCATAGCAAAGATTCATCAGAGTGTTCTTAGGGCTCCAATGATTAGCCTATGGGAGATCATATCAACTCAGTTTGGATTTCCAAGAATAAAGTGAATTAAGTGGTGATCCATTGAGTTCTTTTAGGATTTTGAAACAAAATGCTAGGGAAGATAAAGAAAAACATACTCTGCTGCTGGAGGAATCTAGAAAAAGGGACCTTAATGTCAGAGACAGGCCATTCAGGGCACTGCCAGCAAATGCTTCTTTACACAAAAGGAGACACCAGTGTGGAGCACTCTCCCAAGAAAAGCTTTAAATGCTAGCTGCAATTTTATATTTGTGACTGATGGTGTTTTGCTGGACAAAGTTACTAAGGGTTATGGAGCAAAGACAGGTGGATGGAGTTAGGTACAGGTAATTTATTTATTTATTGAATAGTGGAATAGATAAGGGGCTGAATGGCCTCCTCCAGTCCTTCAAATGCTCTCATTCCCTTAATATGCCAAGCTGAACAAAGGAAATATTAGTCTGCAGTCTCATGATGATATTTACTCATTGATCGTTAACAATGGAAGTGGAAAGCTGAATATGCCAATCGTAAACAGAAATATGAAAAAAAAAACTGGATGAAAAATTCCTGATAATTCCAGAAGAGGTGAGGAGAGATGTA